TAGAAAAAGAATAATAAAATACAAATATAAACATTTTATTGTTATAATTGAAAATATAAAACATTTAAATATGAACTTTTATTCTACGTGAAAGAGAAATGAAAAATGAAATACAAAAATGATATTTGAATTCAACGCTAATATGTACAGTTAGACTGGGATGCCTTGTAGAAATTGTAGACGTTGCTGATGATGTGGGGGGGGGGAGGTCACAGTTGTTGAGTGACAACCCAACGACTAGTTCGTCACAGTGTATCTAGCCTTGAATAATCCGTCAAGATGATAGGAACGCAGGTCTTTCACCACTGCAAAGATGAGGGGGAGTTGCCTGGGGTTGACTACACTTATCAGGTATGTAGATAAAAAGTGACGTCCCAGAATTCATGTGAAGTTCGTCTCCTTCAACACTGTTTCTGTGGCTGCCAGATAACCCAAGCTGACATTCCAAGCTAGAAAGAGACAAAAGTTAACCACTGCTTGAGAAATCACTCTCCATGATAAGTAAAGCATTTAAAAGACTGGTGGGGATTTAAATGAAAGTCAAGGCATTACAAACTAAGTTTCACAATTAGTTAAAAGTGAAGCTTTTAACCAGTATATCCATTAAAAACAGCAGAGGCTTTTACTTACAGTTGTGTTGGGAGCTGTGAGTCAAGTGATTATCCACTTGGTCGGATCCCCACACGTCACCTTTCCGGGAGAAAAAAGGGGGTGGGATAGCGGAACCTAGACACTGACCCTACCTTAACAAGCAGACTGGCAATCAAACTATCGTCACCATATACTCGCTCGCTACTCCTATCTGTTGAACTTTTCCCTCACAGTGAGGTTGAAGGTACCACTGACTCTCCTGCTAATCAAGGTAAGAATATTCTAATTGTAGGAGATTCTCAGGTAAGATATATGGACCTTGCTTTTTGTAACAGAGATAGGAGGGTCAGAGGGTGTGCCTCCCAAGAGCTGGTGTTGGTGACAGTCAGCAGCTGCCCAGACGACTTTTGTCCCGAGTAGGGAAAGTAGTTCTAACATAAAATGATACCTAATGGATAAACAATATATTAAAACATCTCATAGGTCAAAAAAGAGGCATATATAGGCGTATCAAAAGAGGAGAAGGGCAGTTAATAAATCAGTATATTCAATTAAAGAGAGAAATTAAAAACCAAGAAAAGCAAACAGGGATTATGAGGCTAAAGTCGCAAGGGATTCGAAGACTAACCCAAAAGGGTTCTTTCAGGTACACAGAAGTAAGATTAGAGAAGATTGGCCCACTTAAGAGTAACTCAGGTCAGATTACTGAGAGTGATAGGGATATGTGTGAAATTTTCAATACCTACTTCCTTTCAGTTTTTACTCAGGAAGATACTAGTGAAATTTCAGAAATAATAAATTATATAGAACAGGACGATAATAAACTATGCACGATTAGGGTAATTATTGACATGGTCCTCAGACAAATAGAGAAATTAAAACCTAACAATTCCCCAGGCCCTGAGGAACTGTTGCAAGCGTTTTAAAGGAGTGTAAAGAGGAACTTAGCATACCTTTGGCTAACCTTTTCAGTATATCACTACAAACTGGCATAGTGCCAGACAAGTGGAAAATGGTAAATGTAATACATATTTACAAGGCAGGTGACAGGTCCTTGGCTTCGAACTATAGACCAATAAGCCTTACCTCCATAGATGGTAAATTTATGGAATCAGTAATTGCCAAAGCAATTCGTAGCCATCTTGAAAGGCATAAATCTCAGCACGGTTTTGCAAAGGGACGTTCCCGTCTTACGAATTTACTAACTTTCTTCACTAAGGTATTTGAGGAGGTAGATCATGGTACTGAATACGATATTGTGTATATGGACTTCAGTAAGGCTTTCGATAAAGTTCCACATCAGAAGCTGTTGAGAAAACTTAAGGCTCACGGAATAGGTGAAATTTTTTCCTGGGTAGAGGCTTGGTTGACAAATAGGCAGCAGAGAGTTTGCATAAATGGGGAGAAATCAGAATGGGGGCACGTCACAAGCGGTGATCCGCAGGGGTCAGTCCTGGGCCCATTGTTGTTCATAATTTACACAAACGACATAGATGAGGGAATAAATAGCGACATAAGCAAATTTGCTGATGACACCAAAATACACCGTCCAATTCATTCTAATCAGGACATTAGAGCACTCCAGGATAATTTGAATAGGTTGATGCAGTAGTCGGAGAAGTGACAGATGCAGTTTAATGTAGACAAATGGAAAGTTCCAAATGTTGGACAGGAAAATAACCATACCACATATAAACTAAATAATGTAGATCTTAATGTAATGGATTACGAGAAAGATTTAGGAGTTCTGCTTAGCAGTAATCTGAAACCAAGACAACAGTGCATAAGTGTTCGCAATAAAGCTAACAGAATCCTTGGCTTCATATCAAGAAGCATAAATAATAGAAGTCCTCAGGTTGTTTATGCTGCGCAGTTTTGGTCACCGAATTACAGAATGGATATAAATGCACTGGGAAACGTACAAAGGAGGATGACAAAGTTGATCCCATGTATCAGAAATCTTCTCTATGAGTATAGACTAAGGGCCCTAAATCTGCACTCTCTAGAAAGGCGTAGAATTAGGGGGGATATGATCGAGGTGTATAAATGGAAAAGTGGAATTAATAAAGGGGATGTAAATAGCGTGCTAAAAATATCTAACATGGACAGGACTCGCAGCAGTGGTTTAAAATTGGAAAAATTCAGATTCAGGAAGGATATAGGAAAGCACTGGTTTGGTAATAGAGTTGTGGATGAGTGGAACAAACTCCCGAGTACCGTCATAGACGCTAAGACGCTGTGTAGTTTTAAAAATAGGCTGGATAAATACATGAGTGGGTGTGGGTGGGTGTGAGTTGGACCTGACCAACTTGTGCTTAAGCCGGTGGGAGAATTGGACCTGCCTCACATGGGCCAGAAGTGTTCTTACTATTACTTGTACTGCAACTATTTCTACGATTTATAAGAACAATATTGAACAATAAAGACATGTTTAATTATTTACAATAATAAAAATATGAATATCGAATAGTCGGCCGACTAATTGATAATGCAAATTTCATCAGAGATTCACCTTATTACGCGGTATACAACTCTCCATGTTCGAAGCGAAGTTCGAACGGCCAGGCTGGAGTGGATGGCTTCCGAACTTGTTCGAATTAGAGCCCTAAGTTTCAATGGGTAGTGGGTGGTAGTGGTGGTGGTGGTGGTGGGTGGTAGTGGTGGTGGTGGTGGTGGTGGGTGGTGGTGGTGGTGGGTGGTAGTGGTGGTGGTGGTGGTGGTGGGTGGTAGTGGTGGTGGTGATGGTGGGTGGTAGTTGTGGTGGTTGGGAGGTGGGTGGTAGTAGTGTTGGTGGGTGGCAGTGGTGGTGGTGGTGGGTAGTAGTGGTGGTGGGTGGTTGTGAGCGGTGGTGGTGGGGGTTGGTGGTGGTGGGTGGTGGTGATGCTGGGTGGTGGTGGTGGGCCGTGGAGGTGGAGGGGGTGGTGGCGGCGGTGGTGGTGGTGGGTAGTACTGGAGGTGGTGGGTGGTAGTGGTGGTGTTGGTGGTAGTGGTGGTGGTGGTGGTGGTGGTGGTGGTGGGTAGTACTGGAGGTGGTGGGTGGTAGTGGTGGTGGTGGTGGTGGTGGTGGTGGTGGTGGGTAAGGGGAAAGTTACACCCCAGTCCAAAATCGCAAGTTTTACCTATTCGGCACTATATATATGTCGTGCCGAATAAGTATAACTTGCGATTTTGGCATAAATAGCAACTGTCTTCTTGCCAGATAAGACAAGCGAAAATTTGTGTATGCAATAATTTCGCAAAAATTCTGAACCTAACAGCAAAAATATATTTCGTTTTGTTTGTTTATTATTAAATTATTGTAAACTTATCTAAAATATATTTAGGCAAATTAGGCAAAATTAAAATGTGCTTATTATAATAAGGTTAGATAAGTTTTCTAAGGTTCTTTTGGTACTTAATTACTATTAATTTTTACAGTAACACAAATGAAAAAAAATATGTCTTTATATGTATTAATGGAAATTTTACAAAGGACTTAATTTTAAATGAGTTCTTGTTAATTGACCAATTTTACCTATTAGGCACGATATATATATATATATATATATAATATATATATATATATAATATATATATATATATATATATATATATATATATATATATATATATATATATATATATATATATATATATATATATATATATAATATAGATAATTTAACAATAATTTAATAATAAAACAAACACAATGAAACATATTTTTTTTCGTTAGATTCAGAATGATTTTTGCGAAATAATTGCATACACAAATTTTAGCTTGCCTTATTCAGCAAGAAGAGCGTTGCTATTTAAGCCAAAATCGCAAGTTTTACCTATTCGGCACGACATAAATAAAAATATATATATATACAAAATATATATATATATATATATATATATATATATATATATATATATATATATATATATATATATATATATATATGTATATATATATATATATATATATAATATATATATATATATATATATATATATATATATATATATATATATATATGGTTTGGGTAGCATATCTGACTTTGGATACCTTCGTAGTAGCAGGAATTGTACATTTGGAAGGCTCCTGATTGCAACTTTTGAGGGAGAGGATTGTAACTTTGGAAGGCCAGTGATCGTGGTTTTTGTGGGAGACAGCGACTGTGACTAGAGGAGTAGGGATTGTGACTAAAGGGATAACGATTGTGACTTTTGGGGGCCGCTGAGATAGAAGGAAGACAGATCTGGACACGTCTCTGCTCTAGATCTCTTAGGGTAGGAGACGGAGTGGAGACCAGCCCAGGAGCAAAGGAACGGAGAAGAGGAGGAAGCAGGCGGGGCTGGGCGCTTGCGCAGGGAGATCCAGGGAGGGTGGGAGGGAAGGAGGGAGTGAGCGAGGGAGAGAGCCACAGTATGGGACAAGCTCCCAGTGGTACACGAACATACAAGAGAAACTCCGGTCTAGCCTCATCCGTGACTATCACACGCGGCTCTGTACCTCAACCTTTCGCACCCAAATCCCTCTCGTTCCCTCCCTCCCTCCCTTTTTCTCTCTCTTTCTCTCGTGGAGGCTGAAGGATATCTGTTTCCTCTTTCTCCCATCCTCTCAGCCCTCCCTCACGATGCCTCTCACCCGTCAGGGAGTATAAGAGAAACATGAGAGAGAGGGCGTGTGTCGCGTTCAACCCTTGTTTACACTGACTCTTCCGGTCTCTCAAACACTGAAGCGGTGGCGAGGGATTTTGACCCTGTGCACGAAGCAGGGTTTTGGATCTTACTACTTAAAACAGACGGAGAAAAATCCTTCTGGTGCAGTGTATCGTTGACAGTGTGGCGCGCAGTGTTTAAAGAGGCAGATTTGCTGTTTCTGTGACAGATATTTTTCTGGGGGCGGGGCAAAGAATGGTTCCTCTCGGGCGTGGGGCATAAGACTGCAGAAGGAATGAAGATGTTGGTGGAAGTGTTGTGGGCGGTGAGCGTACTACTGCTGCTGGTGCAAGGTAAGTGATGGGCGGTGGCTGCCCATTGCCCCATCCCCTCCCCTTTGGCCCTTTCCTCTCTCTCTCTTTTTTTACACAGGGTTTGACAAGGTTAGGTTAAGGATCTCTCTCTCTCTCTCTCTCTCTCTCTCTCTCTCTCTCTCTCTCTCTCTCTCTCTCTCTCTCTCTCTCTCTCTCTCTCTCTCTCTCTCTCTCTCTCTCTCACTCTCTCCCTCTCCCTCTCCCTCTCCCTCTCCCTATCTCTCGACCCCTCCTTTTGTTTCTCATTTCTTCCCATTCCCGCTGCGTCTTTGCTTTCCCACTTAAGTCGCTAACTTCCCCTCGCTCATATCCTCCCTTCTTCCCCCACCCCGTCTGTGCACAGAGGGGAGGGAGGGGACTCAAAGGTGTAGGCGTGCTCGAAGGTGTGTGTGTGTGTGTTGGTGGCGCGCAGGTGAGATTGTACACACACGCACACTCGCGCACGCACGCACACACACACCCACAAAATACTCACACACACACACACACACACACACACACACAGGCATGTGACTGACAGTCCAGATGGTTGGTTCTGAGTAAGCTGTAACCCTGTTTGCTAATGATGTAAATGTAAGGAGAATATAAACAGAGGAGAACGGAGAAAAACTGTAAATGGAGCTGGACAAACTGCAAGATTGGTCGTATAGTAGTTGATTTAATTGCACCTCAGCTCATGCACTTTTATAAAGATTGGGAAAGGGTCAAGAAGACCAGGCACGGAGTATAGACTTGGGGGACAAAAACTGCAGACTTCATTCAGAGAGAAAGATCTAGGGGTGGACATAGTGCCTGGTATTACTCCAAGGGTTCACATGTGCCAAATAACCTCTACAGCTAATGCTCGTAGGTTAAATCTTAGACCATCCTTCCGGAATGTCAACAAAAGCGATATTCGTGGTCTTTTATACAACATATGTCAGACCCATCTTGAAATATGCATCACCAGTACGGGACCCACAACTAGAAAAGCAAGTTAAGAGACTGGAGAAAGTATGGAAGTATGCAACGAGGGTCATTCCAGGGTCGTTCTAGGGTCGTTCCAGAGGTAAGGAGCATGAGCTACGAGGAGAGGTTAGGTAAGGTTTGTTAGGAAACAGGACAGGTATTTCCTGTCGCTGGTCTTAACCATATGATGACCCGCAACTCGAGCTTTTGACCATCTGACTGAGGCCTTGGCTGGCTAACCGATCCACCCCTTTCAAAATTATGGTTATAATTATAGCAAATATATTACGAGGAGAGGCTAATGGGTTTGAATCTAACGACATTGGAGGACAGAAAATATATAAAATATTCTGTTAGGAGAAAAACAGGTACTCAAGGGCACATCTGGAAGTTAGACACAAATGAGCCACAGGGATGTCAGGAAGTATTTGTTGTCTCAGAATGGTCAGGAAGTGAATTGATCTTGCTGTAAAAGTGGTGGAGGCAGACTCCATACATAGTTTGAAGAGCAGGTATAATTGGGCTTATGCGGTCAGGAGGAAGTGAAACCGGCAAGCGGCAAGTTGAGGGAGCAGGTCAGGAGCTAGGGCTCAGTACCTGCAACCATATGCTGGTAAATATATATGGGGGATTACACGCAGCAAGATTAGTCAGATAAGTTGCTACTATTATAACTTAGTAAGTGCTATGTTAAGAAAATTGAGGAAGGGTCATGAAGACCGGAAACCGGGTAAACACTCCTGGGACAGAGGCTGTAAATCGAGCCTTCAGCATACGCTGTATAGTCCACTTGGCTTTACTCTTTCACTTAAAAAAAATAATGTTTCCAACCCTGGGTGTTCAGATTTCTGTGTCACAACTTCCTGGTTCCTCTATCATGTGGGAGTTCGACACGTGGATTGGGTAAAGTAATACTCACGTAGGCTGGTAGTACGTATAATTACAGACAAGGTGAGTAGCGCCCTTACAGCCGTAACCTTGTCTCTCTGCTCTCTCTCGTACAACTACCCGACTGGCCGCCCACAGTACCCATATGTGAGGGGGTCTTTGAATAGTGCCAGGTCAGCACAATATGAATAGACAGTGACTCAGGCAGAGACGGTTGGTAACGAGTCAACGGTACACTGGTTACTGGTAACTGGTTACTACTACTGAGACCTCTTGTGTCACACAAGTTGTCCTTGGTTACTCAGTCTTTACCTTCGAACATCTTATACGTCAGGATCATGTAAATCCCTAGCCCCTCTGTCACTAAGTGACACGATGTTTCACTCTTACTTTTCCTTCGTAGCATATTTCCCTCATTTGCTAGGTCGATCAATTGGCAAATCTCTAATTTTTTCCGATCTCCTTCATATGGTTGGTTATTCGTGGTATAACGTTAATGTTGCATACCCGAAGACTAGTGTCATGTGTATGATGTAAGTCGCCTTGAATGATTTCTGAGTTAAGTCCCATGAAGAAACTCTTTATCAGCCATGTCAGTGTCACTGACATGTATAGCAAGAAACTCATGGAGAAGATTTTCAGGAGAAGAGTGGTGGAGCACCTAGAAAGGACTGAGCTTATCAACGACATCCAACATAGTTTCAGGGATGAGAAATGATGTGTCACAAACCTGCTGGAGTTCTATGACAGTGTGACGGCAGTAAGACAACAGAGGGAGGGGTGGGTAGATTGCGTTTTATTAAACTGTAAGTAGGCTTTTGACACAGTTCACACAAGAGATTAGTGCATAAGCTGGAGGACCAGGCAGGTATAACAGGGAAGTGCATCAGGGAATACCTGTCGGAAAGACATCAGAGAGTCATGGTACGTGGCGAGGTGTCAGAGTGGGCACCTGTGACGAGCGTGATTCCACAGGGGTCAGTCCTAGGACCGGTGCTGTTTCTGGTATATGTGAACGACATGACGGAAGAAATAGACTCAGAAGTGTCCCTGTTTGTAGGTGATGTGAAGTGATGAAAAAAAATTCAATCGGACGAGGACCAGGGAGAACTACAAAGGGATCTGGGCAGGCTGCAGGCCTGGTCCGTAAACTGGCTCCTGGATTTCAACCCCACCAAGTGCAAAGTCATGAAGATTGGGAAAGGGCAAAGAAGTCCAAACATCAACCAAAATAACTGCTGCAGCATATGGGCGCCTGGCAAACCTAAGAATAGCATTCCGACATCTCAATAAGGAATCATTCAGGACCCTGCTCACCGTGTATGTCAGGCGTATATTGGAGTATGCAGCACCAGTTTGGAACCCACACCTAGTCAATCATGTAAGGAAATTAGAGAAAGTGCAAAGGTTTGCAACAAGACCATTCTCTTAGCTAAGGGGCATGTCCTAACAGGAGAGGTTAAGGAAAATCGACCTGACAACACTGGAGGACAGGAGAGATACGGGGGATATAATAACATAAAATACTGAGAGGAATTGACAAGGTGGACGGAGACAGGATGTTCCAGAGATGGGACACAGTAACAAGAGGTCACAATTAGAAGTTGAAGACTCTGATGAATCACAAAGATGTTAGGGAGTATTTCTTCAGTCACAGAGTTGTCAAGAAGTGAAATAGTCTGGGAAGTGAAGTAGTGGAGGCAGGATCCATACATAGCTTTAAGAAGAGGTATGATAAAGCTCTTGAAGCAGGAAGAGTGACCTAGTAGCTACCAGTGAAGAGGCGGGGCCAGGAGCTTTTATATCTTGGTAGTGATGGAGTATCTTGAGTGATGGAGTATCATCAGTGATGGAGTATCTTGAGTGATGGAGTATCATCAGTGATGGAGTATCTTGAGTGATGGAGTATCATCAGTGATGGAGTATCTTGAGTGATGGAGTATCATCAGTGATGGAGTATCTTGAGTGCAGGCAGCAAGATGGTACTCATGTGCTCTGACCATCTGCTTGTCTCTCACAAGCACCATCAACAAAATAATGCCTGGCCGAGACTCCAGCATGTTTCTACAACGCCAAAGCTTGCCTGGCCTATCATCATCTACTTCGGTAATGGGCCCTGCCCACCTCTGAGGCCATCCCCAAATGCTTCACCTCTCCTGTCTAGAGATATACTACTTCCCCATCCTCGTGCATCTGTTTTACTGAGGGACTGATCCCCTCAAGTTACCTCTTTCCGTTTTTTCCGGTTTTTACTCTCTGTATTGGATTGATTAAGCCACTGGTGGGCGAGACGTCTCCACGATTAAGAAACCCAAGTAGTGTACATGTGTCTCCGTTGTTCCACTGTGTTCCAATACACTGTACCACTCCTTGTGTGTGTGTGTGTGTGTGTGTGTGTGTGTGTGTGTGTGTGTGTGTGTGTGTGTGTGTGTGTATGTGTGTGTGTGTGTGTGTGTGTGTGTGTGCGTGTGTGTGTGTGTGTGCTTGCCAAAATCCCCTCTTTTTTTGGAAGATATAATTAATTTGCAACTTCCCCAGTAGTTGCTGTAGTCAACTCATCTCTTGCAGCTCATTCCACTTGCTAACAGCTATGCAATTTAACCACAGGTCAAGATAATTACATTCCTATGCGCCTTTGTGACCTCACAGTCACATTCTCCGTCTCTCTCGTGAAGAAATGCCTTTTATTTTCGCTTTCATTTTTTTTAAACTTTTTTCTTTTTTGAGGAACAAAAAATTACGAAAACCAAAATAAAATTACGTAAATTGTGCAAAAGAATAAATAAATTATGCTTTCTTTTCTTTTTTTGATTAGGTTGAAAAAAAAACCGTTTCTTTTTATTTCTTTCCTGGCGTATGCGTGTGTACACATGTCTACGTACAAGAGTTTGCCGGTGACAGGCATAGGTGACGTTGGCTGCCTTCTGGGTGTGAGTCGAGGTTCCTCAGGCGTTCACACAGGGGATGGGCTCCACACTGGCGCTACATACTTTCGAGTATGTATGAGTGTACCTTTTCCTTCTCCACTTCCAGGTGTTATCTGGCCTGCAGTCTCATTCGTCCAGAACCTGGCTTCAGTATCTTGCATTTGCTGGCGTTGAACGCTTAAAACATGACCCTTCATTCCTGGTGCCTGTATTAAG